TTCCCCTTTGAAAACATTTCACTCAAGAAGCTTCATTCAAGCTTTTTGGATGAAAAGAGGAAGGAAGGAAAGGAAAAACAAAGAAAAATCCACTTGACTTTTGGAAAAAAAACCACCTTTGGGACAACCGTGACCTGGATGATTGAGGTGAGATGCAAATGAGATGGTTGGGTTTTTCTTGGCTGCATATTGGAAGCAGTTTGTCCTGGCCTTTTCAAGTTTCTAGTCCAGCGTAGAAGTTCTCTCTCTTTCTCTCTCTGATTGTGTGTGTCTGTGTGTTTCTCTCTGTCTGTCTGTCTTTCTCTCTCCCTCTCTCTCCCTCTCTGTGATTGTGTGGTGTTTGTCTGTCTGTCTGTCTGTCTCTCTGTCTGCCTGTCTGTCTGTCTCTCTGTGTGTGTATGTGTGTGTCTCTGATTGTGTGTGTCTGTGTGTTTCTCTCTGTCTGTCTGTCTTTCTCTCTCCCTCTCTCTCCCTCTCTGTGATTGTGTGGTGTTTGTCTGTCTGTCTGTCTGTCTCTCTGTCTGCCTGTCTGTCTGTCTCTCTGTGTGTGTATGTGTGTGTGTGTGTGTGTGTGTGTCTGTGTGTTTCTCTCTGTCTGTCTGTCTTTCTCTCTCCCTCTCTCTCCCTCTCTGTGATTGTGTGGTGTTTGTCTGTCTGTCTGTCTGTCTCTCTGTCTGCCTGTCTGTCTGTCTCTCTGTGTGTGTATGTGTGTGTGTGTGTGTGTGTGTGTGTGTGTTTCTCTGGCTGTCTCTCTCTGTCCGATTTATTGTGGTTCCTCATCTCAGTACAAAACAGATCCATTACGTTTAGCACCTTCAAGAGAAGCCGATCTCCTGCATGGATATTGTGAAAATGCCATCAGAATTACTATTTAAGGGAGAAGCGGCCCTTCTTGAGAATAGATCAAGTCTGTATCGCACTAATATTGGCCATTTCAACTAGGGCAGATCAGCGTGTATCTATCTAGTGCAGATAAACCTACGGTTTAAAATGGGTAGCAAGCCACCCTAAGATAATTAACTCTTACTTACCCGTAGGAGCAAGTCCTCAGAAAGATTGACTTTGTATCTGAAATGCCGCCCTGAAGTGGTTCCTGGCTGCAAAAGATAAAAAAAAAAGACCTCCTTTAAATCGAAACTTGAAGTTGACCGATTCCTAGATCCAGCCTTGCCTTAGAAAACACCCTTGAAATTCTTAATATTGTTTACTTCTGCCCTTCCAACACCGCTCAAATTATTTTTTGTGCATGCAAAAAGTTTTCACCGATGGACAGTTCCGCATTGATGCAAAATGCATGCGATTCCTGCTTGGATCTCAACTAAAATCTCAGAATAGATGGGGGGGAGGACACAAAAACCCAATCTCTTAAAATTGACCCCGCAAATCTCAATCCATCTTTAATCTCCCACTATTAAAATCCTAGGGGGAGGAGAGAAAAAAAATGCTTCGTGTCCAAATTCGGCCTCTGATAGAGAATATAGATTTAAAAAGCGGGAGACCCTGCAAGAAACGCAGAGAAGCAGTGCTCCAGCGACAAGGTTAAGCCGTGTTTCAATCTAATCATGGCTTGTTTCAATTGTTTTCAAGGTGAAGTCTCTTGCCCACTCCCTCCCCCGCAGCCAACCTGTGGGAAAAATCAAACGACCCCACCGCCACCATAAAGAGGAAGCAGCGAATCCCTGGGGGTTCCTGAAATACCGGAGACAAAAAAATAAAATAAAAATACGACCCCTTTAATTCGGGTTTCAATCTTTCCTGAGAACAGACCCCCAAAAGATGGGGGCCCTTGAGCTTGTTTTGAGAAAATGTCGGCTTGTAAAACGGGCCTTGCCGTATAACATACAACCTTAAGTTCTTCGGGTGCAAAATGCGCCTCGCAAAATAAATAAATAAATAAATAAAAAACAGATCCAAAGCTACTTCCGCAGGAGGAGAAAAAAATGAAAATCCAAAGGTAAATTCAAGCTCTTTTTGAAACAAATCTATTTCATAATGAACCCTCCTTCTCATAATAATAATTACCCTATCATGGAGGGAAATCGGGACGCGGGTCTCTCTCTCTCTCTCTTTTTATTTCTTTCCCTCAAACGAGGTTAGGTATTAAAAATATAAAATGTTTTCTTTCCTTGGGAAAGGGGGCAAAAAAAAAAAACCCATCGCGGGCAGCCCACCGAAGCGCACTCCCCCCCCCCCGAGTTTTAACTCGGAATACTGTTCCGAGAGAAAAAGAAGGGAGTATATAGAAGTCGAGCCATATTTTAAAACAGCGATTTTAAAAATGCCCGGATCGGATCTGTCGGGGGTGGTGGGGGTGGAAAGAAATGGGAAAAAAAATGAGTAAATCGAAGGGGATTTCAGGGATGCGACTCCCCCCCCCTTTTTTTTTTTTAGTGCGCGAGCGTGTGGAGCTGATCGCAGTAGAAGAAACGAACGAATGAAGCGAAGCAGAATTCTCCCTATTTTACTGCCTTCTTGGAAGGGAATAAAATAAAACAAACCACAGCCGCTTGAATTAAATCATCCACCGAACTCTTTATTCCCCCCCCCCACCCCCGCAAGAAGCCCAGGCCTCAATCGGCTACTAGTTAAACCCGAAGGCTCGGGATTTTCTTCCCAAATTAAAAATAAAATAAAAATAAAAATGCAGCTCAAAGCCAGCCGGATTAGCAGGAAGTACAATTTCCTGCTTGATGTCCAGCGGAACTACTTTGTGTCTGTGTGTGTGTGTGTGTGTGTGGTAGTTGTTTTTTTTTTAAAAAAAAATCAATTCACGGCAGCTTGGCTCAGTTGTGATTCCTGGGAAATGTAACGAAATAAAAATTAAAACAATAAAT